GGTGTGCGACTCTGGTCATCATTATGTTATGTTATGTTATGTTATGTTTATTACGCTGCATAAGGCAAACGTGAGAGAACAACAAACAAAGAACATCACGAAAAAAACTTTCTGGGAACAGACGACAACGATATATCAACTAGGAAAATACGCTCACTCAGTATATCAAGAAGATATCAAACTAATCAAAGTGAAATGAAATGAAGCGACTCGAGCTGGCAACGATCCGAGACTATTCCACTATTGATGAAGTTAGGAAATTCTGAAGTCAATCTCAAGCAACTAGGATGTTACGTAACTAAGAAGCCGTGCAGCTACAATCCTCTTAAGCTGTCGTACAGTATTGGGAATGGCTAAATTCTTTGTGACCTTCTTATATGTGCTCGCGGCTCTGAATGAGAAGCTAGCGGCTCTCACCCTGGTCCTTGGACAAGGCTAAGAGAATTTTAGCTTGCCCACCTCTGGTCCGTGAATGCTGGATTTCAAACAAATTGAGAGGATTTGACCCTTTAGACCCGTACATAAGCTTGTAAACCATGCACACATCCGCACCATCCGACGTGTTTCGAGGGTGGGAAAGTTCGAAGTATTTGTTCCTGATGGAAGCTTTGGGAACCCTCGAATACAAGGAAGCTCCTGGTTCGCAAAAGAATTTTGCGAGTATAGTTATTTTGCACCTTCTCCAAAGGCTAACACATCCCGTTTCTTAGTGGGGAAGAACACAGCAGCTCCCGTCTCTACTAAAGGACGAACGTATGTTTTGTATGCCTTGAGCAGAACAGACTTGTTAGTAGAGGACAAACCCTTGAAAATGTGATGCGTCCTAAGAAAAGCCAAGTTACATCGGTTTTTGATATGTTCGGAAAAGTCTAAAGTGTTGGAGTAACGAAAGCCAAGGTCCCTAACAGAGTTGACTGGGGAGACGGCAACACCATCTATGGTGTACGGGTGAGGAATGGCTCCCGAATCCAAGGAAATTCTCATGCAAAGCGTTTTATGCGGGGCGAGAGGAAGCTGCCATGTTTTTGCCCAGTCACTAAGTCGGGTAATGGCTCTCTGAAGATCTTCACAGTCAGACTGTCCCAGAATCCTCTTGTAAATCTTCACATCATCTGCATATATTTTGGTCGAAACGCCAAGTCCCTGAAACAAACTGGGAATCTCTGCGGTGAAGATGTTAAACAGCACCGGAGACAGAACTCCACCTTGGGGGACGCCACTGTAAACTTCTTTACTGTCGGAATAGCACTTCCCAACCCTTACTTGGAAAGATCTACCAGTGAGGAAATTGGTAATCCAGGTAATAAGAACAGGATGAAATTTCAATTCTTTCAACTTATGGATAAGCTTCGCGTGCGATACCCTGTCGAAAGCCTTGGCAAAATCAAAATAGATAACATCACAACACCCATTGTTATCAAGAGTCTTAGTCCACTCGTCAAGGCATTCAATCATGTTGGTTTCAACAGAACGTCCCGGGGTGAAGCCATGCTGATTGTTAGGTATTAAGTTACACCCAAGAGTATATTTCATGACATGCTCCTTGAGACGCTTTTCAAACAGTCTACAGAATAAAGAGGTAATGCTCACAGGCCGATAATTACCGGGATCTGATGACGGTTCTTTCTTTAGAACAGGAGTTATGAAAGAGTGCTTCCACCTCCTAGGGACTTCCCCACTCATGAGTGATTGGTTGTAAATGTACGCGAGAGGTCCACTAATGAAACAAGCTACTTTCTTAATGAAGGAGAGTGGAATAAGATCGGGGGTAACCGACGAGGAATTGGGCCACTTGAGTATTTGTTCATAGAGCTCCTCTGCTAGAAACCACGGAACATCTCCCATCGAGTGAACAGGCTGCACAGCAGAGTTGGTTAATAAAGGAACTGTGCTATCATCCTTGATGAAAGTCTTGCTAAAATGTTCGGCTATCATATTTGCCTTATCAAGGTCGGTGAAAGCGACTGAGTTCTCATACTTTAACACATTGCGGACCGCCGTACTGCGCGCACGTCCTAGTCATTT